TTTTGATGGAATTTAGTGTTAAGCATCCTGGGCCCAAATGGAATTCAGGTTACACAAATGAAGTGTATGGCATCCTTTTATGGCAGAAAAACGAGGCCAAGTAAATGGCAACGATGACTTTATTCAGTTTGAACCTAGATAGCTACTGATGTTGCTCTTGACCAAGTACTGTTAGATCATTGATAATGCAGATCCAGTTGGTATATTTTGCTGTAATGTGGGGAGTTTGTAATATTGCTCTGAAGCTTGTGTAATGCCATTATACATGTATAGGAAGCTTTATTTGTAGTCACTCTGTAAAGCTTGGAATGTAACTCATGAAAAAAAGAATGTCTCTGAATATTTTTTAAGGTGACTTTGGATATTTTAAGAAGTCGCTGGATATTTTACAATGTCATTATCTTATAATTTAACTACCGTATATATCCTTCAATAATCCCAGAATCCAACACATAATATTCTCTAACTCAAAGTAGGGAGCTGGGCTGGCCCTATCAAAGTACAAAAAAATAGCATTTGATGGCATTTATACTGGACTGTAATAGATATGGGTGGGCTAATTACCAGGCATGAGCTTATTGCCGGGCAAATATAAAATATACATATGTATGAAAATGTCAATTTGGATATTTTATGAAGTCAGTTTGGATATGGATCTTGATTATGGAACTCTGTGTATGATCTTACAAGTCGCTGGTTAAATGTTGTTCCGGAAAGCTCATTAACTGCTGGGAATCACTGGTAATGTCAGTCGGCAGAACTTGTAATTTCACTGTCTTGCTCAAATGTTTAAATGTTCAATACAAATTTCATGATTTGGATCGATTATTAACTTTTGTCTAGCCCATGCGTATAAGTACGTAATACTTAATTCACTTATTCACTTTCAACAGAATTTTATTGAAATATTGTATCAGAACAGGCGTATAAGTTCGGACATCGATAAGCAAGAATGACAGATATACCTACGATATTAGTTGGGTGTAATGGAGTTTGTGTGTTAGTCCTGCCCATCCCCGTTCTGCTAGGCAGCACTTTCAATGCAAAAGCAAGTTAAAGTTGTCTGTATATTTGTTAGTGTCAAATAGCAAGATGAATGCTCTGACTTATAAAGTGAAAACATGTGTAGCCGTCTTTTTTAACTGTTCGTAAGACTCGGTTTTCTACTCTAAGTAAGGCAGAGGCACACCTTGCAGGCGGAAGTTGATCTTATAAGTGTAAGTAGCAGGTGTGTAAACAAGGCCTGATAACCCCCTCCTGGGCAATGATTGGCTGTAGACATGCATCAGACTGGACCATTCCAACACCCTGTGTAGGCGTTGAGGAAGTATACAAGATTCCACATTTGGTCCCTTGCAATAGCCTGCAGCTTGCAGTCCGATAAATCAGATTTAGAAATTGATGAGAAAGATAAACATTTCAAATTACAGGACTTCCCATCTACTTGAGCTGCTGAAGTGTATAAGAATCCCTGAAATCACATAGATATTGATTCTTCTGTACACGTTTATCTTATCTCTGTTATCAATCCCTGTAGCTGCGTTTTCCCTGTTATATAGCGGTTCGGAGGTGAGGGTCTATTACTTATTTTTTCGTATTTAACATGAATTAGTTAATTTTCAAATTAAAAAAAAAAACAGGCTTTAAAAAGTTTTTTTTTTAAATTTTAGAAATTGATAAACTAGCAATAGGTATACCATATATAGTGAACAATGGTCACAAGTTGTGGAACTTCAGGTGAATGTTCAACTTTGTTGTATTAATTACAATCAGTGATGTGGCCACATAGGGATCTTTTGATATGAAGTTTTCTAATTGATTTGCAAAATCTCTTAGCCGATATACTGTTTTAGTATATACTTTAACTGTTATGGAATTGTTCGACTTTAATCAATTCAATCATTAATCTAGTACACTCTGTAATATTTAGAGCATTCGTTATAGAATTACGTCATAGATGAAAAACAGTTAAAAGCAAAGTCAAATGAATTGGCACTAATCTTTCAACTGCCACATTCCAGGATTCGGTATTTCAAAAAAGCGAACTGCTGAAAGATGTTCACCAACCTTATGGTAACATTTTTGTTGCTTTTCCGGCGGCGTCAATATTTAATTTTTGCGTTTAACTTAGTTTCACTGAAAGTATAAGTGCTAGACCAACCATACTTGAATCATAAATGCATCTTAGGTAGTACATCTCACCCATGCATCAAATGCTGGATGTGGCCTACCTTTCATGGTCCATTGACTTTGTCAGCATCTTAATCAATGTTAATTTTTTGCGTTTAAGTGTGTTTCTCTGATATGTGTATTGATGGTCAAAGCGGGGCACAGGCGAGACATATCAATCCGAATGGCTTGTTGTTTAACCTCATACACTTTTGCCGTTTTCTAACGATGGCCTGGGAGTTGATTATGGTAGAAAGAGGTTTACCTAAAGAAACTCCTGCATATAATTGTGTACTAATAACTTGTTGAATTGAAGTATTTCCATGACACTTCATATTACACTGCCACATACACACATTTCAATATTACACTTCCACATACACACATTTCAATATTACACTGCCACATACACCCATTTCAATATTACACTGCCACATACACACATTTCAATATTACACTCTCATAGCTCCATGACATTCCAATGCTGAATTGATCTAAGATAGAAACAAGGATTACAATAAGGTATACGGACACACAATGAAAAGAAAAGGTTTTTATTTATCTATATGTAGGAGATAGCCACATCTAGTAAACAAGGCTCAAAGCGGATTACAGGACAGCTCTGTGACTATAGTGTTTAACACAGGTTTACATACTGTGAAAGGATACTACAGGTCTAAGAGTGACATTAAAATTTGGACTGCATCCCAGGGGCCACCAGATAAAAATAGGTTAGGCCGGAAATGAAAACGTTACGAGCCTCATCATATACCTTCGGTCCTTTTATAAATGTTCGTATAAAAGTAATAGTGTGCTTACACAAACATCAAAGAAAAGAACCTTTTAAGAGACCCAACAACTGAACTGATAAACAAAACAATTAATACAAAACTTCTGGTCGCTGATGAGTATCTTCTAGTTACCATGGCGGTTAAAATTGGAGCCACTTTTTAGCCAAATTAATTTCTAAGTCCATATCATTTGCAGGTTCGTTGGTTTGTCTAGTGGCCATGCTCAGTTGGTGTTTATATTTATGTACCGAACATATACAGTGTTAAAACAAAAGCATTATACTTGCCAACCTTTCAAATTGTTCAAGTGGGAATTAAAACCAACAGCAGTAAATCAATTGAGTTTAAGCAAAATAAAAGATGTAAAGAGCTGCTGATTTTAAAGTGAAAATTGTCAGTGAAAAATGAGGAGTCTTCTATCAAAATGGGGAAATTTGGTAAGTACTGTAACTGGACGAATGACTGATTTAAAACTGAATCAGTTCATGTATCATTACCTAAAGCTCAGGTCCAGTTGTTGATGAATTGGTATGGTTTGCTTGTACTTTACATTTTGATCTTCACGTCCTATTAAGAGCTATATGGTCATTTAAGGTCATGTCAGGTTTTGGTGATGGAGGAAAACCATTGTGCCCATAGAAAAACCAGCGACCTGTGACCAATTCCTGGCAAATGCCCCAGTCCATGGGAAATACAAATTTTCTTAAAGGACATTCGGCCAGGTAACTATCCGAAGCTTGCCAGACCGGAACATTTGGTTTGGTTTAATTTTGTTTAACCTCCTATTAACAGCTAAGGTCATTAAAGGACGTGCCTCCTTGTGTATAGTGTATGCGTGTGTGTATGCAGGAGACAGGGTATGTTGGTGTGCTTGCCTCCTTGTGATTGCACAGATCTGATGCCAACTTTATAGTGCTATCTCACTGAAATGCCATGCCAAAGGCACCAAACACAGCATTCCGCCCGGTCACATTATACTGACAACGGTTGAACCAGCTGTTACCATTCCCTTAAATGCTGAACATTAAGTAGGGTCAACATCTACCCATTTTAAGGACTTTGGTATGTCCCGGCCTGGGGACAGAACCCATTGCCTTCCTAAACTGGCAAACGCTCAACATTCAAGCCAAAGGCGAGGTGTTGCCAAGCAAGGAGCTAGGAAATAAAAGGTAGTGAAAAGTAGAAAGAAAGATAAAGATCCCAAATAATGCAATGGGCGCAGCAGATTTATTTTGGTCGCTTTTGTGTCCTGAAATAGAGGACACCAAAGCAAATCCCCAATGCTGCAGGGGTTTACCTCATTAGTCGCCTCCTACAATACATGCAGTGGGTAACAGCAGGTGTATTCTTTTCCCGATCCCCGACCTGCAGGGGTGTGCCAGACCGGAACAACTTTTACAGGACATTTCGGTCAGGTTAGCTTAAAAAACTTGCCAGTTCAAAGAAAATGGGGGGAAAAAACTTACAAAAATTGTTTGATGTATACAATAAATAAATTATTTTAAAATGGTTTTGGCAGTGGTTTGCCAGGTTTTGCCCCAACGTAACGAAGCATTATTCTTCATCCAATCAATGTCAATACAGGTTACCGCAACGCTTGACTGCACTGAATATTACAGGGGTATTTCAAACGCTGAAGTGACATGACTCAAGATGATTCTAAGGTAGAAAATGTACGCCAGACATTTGGTCTGGAATTACAATAGTGATTGCCGGACCAGCAGTATTTTTTACGGGACATGTCCGTCAGACCGGCATATTTCACATGGACTGCTGCCCCACATAGACCACGAACCCAAGACCCAGTGGTTGAGGGCTAGTGGTTGATGACGGGTTAGATGCCTCAACCACTCGGGCATCATGACCCCAATGATGGATGTGACCAGCATGCGATGATATATTGATAAATACTGTATGCACATTTCAGGATTCATGAGGTTTTATTTCAGGTGCTACTGTCACTTTTCAGCACTTGTATATATTTTTTGATTTATGTACCTGGTAGTTTACACCAATGCTGACCTTTGACCTTATTTTCAGATGGAATGTACCTGTATGGAGTTGGCACTAGAGGGGGAAAGGTTATGTAAGGCCGGTGACTGCCGTACGGGGGTCCATTTCTTCGAAGCTGCAGTACAGACAGGCACAGATGATCTCAAAACTCTCAGCGCCATCTACAGCCAACTTGGAAATGCCTACTTCTACCTCCAGGAATATGCCAAGGCTCTGGAATACCACAAACTTGACCTGTCACTAGCTCGGTATGTTCTAAGTACGCTTAAGACTGTCGCAGGATTGTAGGATTGCTTTTATTTATTATCGTTTGAAAATTCAGTTATTTCATACTTTTGTGTCCACCAAGTTATCAGATAAATATAATTCCATATAAAACTCATTCACCCCTGAAATTTCATAGTGAACTATTCCAACCATTGAATTGGACGGGTTCAAATGTGTCTTCAGGCTAGCTAGGGGTGAATGAATTAAATGAATTACTGATTCTAGAGATTTGTATAAGCATATGATGCTTTTGGTCAATATGCAAATGTAATCTATATAGGAATAGAACAATCAATACCTAATACATATATCTCCCTGACAAGTTCACAACCTGGAAGAATTTATTAACATGGCTATTTTGACACATGCCAGTAAACTGTGTGGCCAGTTCTATCCAGACTAGAGTGATCTCCCTTTAAACATAGGCTTCTGTGTGTGGCAAGTGGTATATAAACTGCAGACAGTGTTAGATGTAACGTGTCTATGCTGTAGAGGAAATATTTACACTCACTTCCACACTCCTGCCAATAATAAAGGAATTCCAGGGTATCTGAAAGCACAAGTATCAGAGCCAGAATGCTAATCTTTGGGAAAAAACCCACATCTCCTTGGATATTGATACCTATATATGTATGATGATATACAGCAGCTAGCGAGAAATATTTACATGTATACATCAGCACATAGAGTAAACCCTGACCACTTATCTCACGATCCCTGTGTGTAGGTAGTATATACGAGATATATTCACGGACACTAGACACTGGTTTTTTTCTCCCACTCACCTGTCGAACACTACTCCACAGAACTCTCGGTGATAAGGTTGGTGAGGCAAAGGCTAGTGGTAACCTTGGAAACACACTCAAAGTCTTGGGGAAGTTTGAAGAAGCAATAGCTTGCTGTTTACGACACTTAGACATAGCACAGGAATTAGGAGATAAGGTAAGTGACCGTATAAAAAAGTTTATAATCGTGACATGCAAATTCTCATATACTACAGCTAGTGCCTTCACCTCTTCTCTAATACTGTAGAATCAGAGATATTTGTGGAGCTCTAATTTTGTGGTTTTTGTCTTGCGCCACAAACTAGAAGCGACACTTATGTGTTGCTTTTCCGGCGACAACGGTGGCGATGGCATCAACATTAAGTTTTTGCATGTAAGTTAGTTTCTCTGAAAGTATAAGTGCTAGACCAACCAAACTTGGACCATAGATGCACCTTTGGTAGTACATCTCAACCCATGCATTAAATGCTGGATGCAGCCTACCTTTCATTCTTTGTCAGCATCTTGATATATCAACATTAAGTTATTGCGTTTAAGTTAGTTTCTCTGATATGTGCATTGATGGTCAAATTGGGGCATAGACGAGACATATTAATCCAAATGGCTTGTCTTTAAAAAAATTATCAACTTTCCATTTAAACATGAATTTGTGATAAATAAAAAATCCTGTATCAATGGAAATGAAAAGGAATTTTTGAAATATAGTTTTCCATGAATCAATGAAAACGAAGATTTTTTTCCTAAAGAATTTGAGTTAAAAATAGTTCTGGAAGTGTTGAAAAGTGTCAGCTTAGTTGTACTGTTTAAAATTGTAATTAACAGAACGATCCACATGTTGATCCCTGTATAAGGCAGGTGACTACAGTCCCTCAACTCGAGTATAGCTACAATCATGGCCTTGAAACAAAATGTGCAAACTGTGAAATTAAAAATTGATGTAACGTTTCCATATCCCTGGTCCTCTTACTGAGAATGTTTGTTTGTTAAGGGGTTAACGTCTCACAACAACTGGGGTCATGTGAGGACGGGTCCCAGAGAATGTTTAAACATGCATGAAGCATTTAGCCATCACGTACTGGTTGTCTAGGTTGAATAGTTCTAGTATATCAAAAATATGGGGAAAAAATTAATGCTTAAAATTTACGAATACCCAAGCAATCAACAACAAAATTTAAAAAACTCAAAATTAATTAATTCACAGTAGCATGATTTTATTAAATAGGAATTTTGCTTTTAAAAAAATGTCTTCAAAGGATGTTTTAATTAAGAAAAATAGCACTGCAAGGGAGGTAAAGATGATATGTTCAAGTTAAAGTATTCTGAATGCCTGATATACAGTCCAGTCTGTATTAAGAGACAACCCAAGACTTGAAATCGGTCTCTTAACAGAATATAGATATCTGCTATGCATGGTAAGCTTCAATGTGGGGAGGAGAAAATAGTGATCTCTTAAGTGTCCTCATAGCACTGCCGAAACTGTAACTACTTACTGATTAACTGTTTTTTCTGACCTCTTTCCTGTGAGTTTTCAAAATTATAAGTAGAATTTTTTAGAAATATGTCATATACTATTAGAAATATAATATTTCTAGGCATCAAAACATAGATGGATAAAACAGAAGATGAAGTATGGTTAATGTATACTTTATGTATTTATGAAAATTAAAGCAGTTCCACTTAGTTTTACTGCAGGCTTGTTTAATCATTCCTCAGAGGTGTGCCACTATCCAACTTTGTTTTAACAGTAGATTTTCTTCTAGTGTTAAGAATAACAATTTAATGATGTTGCATCTAATTTTACATCCTCTTAATGGTTGACAGACATTTTGAAAGTACACATTTTTTCTGACTTTGATTTGTTATACATTTTACAACATTGAAACTTTGAGTGTAACTTGGTATGATATGAGATAAACAACCATGACAGCCATCTTCAGAAGTTTCCAACAATGTTCCATTTGTAATCATAACTTTGTTAGCAGTTTGGGTGTCCATGAGGAATTTCTGTTGCAGGTGAGTGAGGCGCGAGCGTTGTATAACCTGGGCAACGTTTACCATGCCCAGGGAAAACACACTGGGAGATGTACGAATGAAGATCCGGGGGAATTTCCAGAAGAAGTGCGCACATGTCTTCAGAAAGCTGCTGAATACTACGAGTAAGAGCACACAAATTGTATGCTCTGCTTTTTGTAGAAAGGTGCATGTATATAGCACAGGGAAATACCTGGTTGTCTAAGTCCAGTTTTTCTACTGTCAGCAATCTTTGACTGTTTAGAAAATGTTGATCCTTTTGTCATAGGGAAAAAATGTAAATGAAATAAAAGTGTTTTTTCAAATGTTTTGACTTAATAGATGCTTAAAAATTATTTGACAGGTGTAAAATTCATAGTCGGTGTAACTGTCCAGTATAGGATCTAATGGTAATGTGATTATACACATAAGATCTGAGGTTAATGTATCTATACACATAAGATCTGATGTTAATGTATAAACATAAGATCTGTTGTTAATGTATCTATACACATAAGATCTGATGTTAATGTATATATACACATAAGATCTGATGTTAATGTATATATACACATAAGATCTAATGTTAATGTATATATACACATAAGATCTGATGTCGATGTATATATACACATAAGATCTGATGTTAATGTATATATACACATAAGATCTGATGTTAATGTATATATACACATAAGGTCTAATGTTAATGTATCTATCGGTATACACAGATCGATAGGGGGTATTGATTCTGCCTTGACCTGTTTGTTATGTGATGTTTTTACAGGATTTTCACCTTATAACAGAATTTGAAAATTGTTTACATTATTTTGCAGAGCAAATCTACAAATTGTAAAAGACCTTGGTGACAAAGCTGCCCAAGGTCGAGCCTGTGGTAACCTTGGCAACACCAACTATCTCCTGGGAAATTTCAGTGAGGCAATACAGTATCACCAGGAGGTAAGTACGCCACCACGTAATTTGTTTACCTGTTAATATGACATGTACACGCATATATACATCATATTTATTACACCTGTACAGACTGTTACCTCATGATCACCTGTCCTGAATCTAAACCAACTAATATTATGCCTAGACACAACATCTGCATCTTTTTAGGTCACCTGAGCTTTGCTCAAGTGACCTATTCCAATCGCTTTCCGTCCGTCGTCGTCCGTCGTGCGTAAACTTTTACATTATCAACTTCTTCTCAAGAACCAGTGGATGGATTTTTTTCAAACTTGGTCAGAATCATCCTTGGTAGATGAGGCTACCAAATTGTAAAATTGGGATTCCTACCCCAACCCTAGGGGCCAGGGCGGGGCCCAAAAAGGAAAAATAACCAATATTTCAAAAATCTTCTTCTCCAGACTCAGAGGTATTACAGTCATTTTCTCTGCATGGATGGAAACATCATCAGGGGCTTTATTTAAATTGTAAATTTCAGGACCCCTAAACTATCCGTTCTCCCTTGGGGAGGGGGTAAAGTTTACTATAGTTTATATAGGGAAACAACACTTTTGG